AGATTTCTTGCAGTCGCATTTTGAAGAGTGGAAAATGGTCAGTTCACTTAACGTTTTTTTTTATTCCGTCATATAATTATGATAGACTTTCACTCTATTGTTAAATTTTTTTATAAATTATCATCATCCCCCAAAACTAGATCTACATCATTCATTGATTATAAGACTTGTAAGCCATAATGATACACGATTTATTAAATGGGGTAGATGAAGTAGAGTTCATATGAAAGGATAGTATGGTCAGCAATGTGCCCAGCCACCTAAGCTTTCATTAATTTTAGTTGGGTACCCATTAGAGCTGGGTTGACTCAGGTACGTTCTACTGACTCGAACCCGGACTCGAACTCGAGGCTTTCGGATTAGCAGTCTAGCTCTATATCTCTGCTTCTTACCCTATGGACTGTAATTGAACAGTTCAGCGTGCACTCTGTTATTAACATAATTCCCCACCCCCCACCCCCTTTCATGTCAAAACGTATGAGGCGGATGAAGTAGAGTTCATCTGTTTCGACACCATCGGCATGTAAGGGGATAGTAGTCAGCACTATACAATGATCCATTAAATAAAGTTTTCTTAGATTATCTGTATATTGACTGAATGATCAGTAGTCTGACCTTTTATGAATTAGTTATCCGAAAGTTAATTAAGTACTGGAAGAATTGTACTTTTGGTTCTGATAAAAGCTGAAGATGGTTGATGTAGTGTTGCTTTTAAACAAGGTATACAAACGTTCAATTGTTGAAACGTATAAAAAAAAAACTGTTATTTAACAAATTCATGCGGGATAGGCCTACTATATATTTGGACATACATTAAAACAGTTAAGTGAATTAACAATTATTCCAACTAAATAAAAAGTATACTATTTTCCTATAATGTAGTTTTTGTTTTCTTAGTAAACTTTGAAATATATTAGAAATAAACCGATAAAAATTATACGTGATGAATTGTGATTTGCTAAAAAAAAAAAAAACACATTTTAACAAAGAGCGTTGTGATTTCGAAACGAACTCTTGAATATATAAAAAGTGAAGTGTATACAATATTCAGATTGTATCATGCTGTGATAAGCCTGGAGAAATGTGATACAACTTATCGACTACGTATAACCAGAGGCTTCATAAATACATCGTAAATCCCGTTGAAGTGTTTTGTCTAATACAGTCTGAACTGACACGACTAAACCGTTTAAAACATGTTCAATATCTAGACTGGTGGTTCTTAACATGGGTTCCATTGAACCCAAGGGCTACACTGAGTCAATCTCAAGGGTCAAGACACACCAGATCAGTGTTTCTTCCAGACTTTTTTCTCCGGTGGGGGGGGGGGGGCACTTGATATTTTCGGGGGGGGGGGGGGAGGTGAAGGGGGGACTAAATTCTCCGGGGAGGGGTGTTGGAGCGGACACTCACTGGTAAAAGTATATATTTTTTATATAAATTTCCATTTCATTCGAGGGGGGGGGGGAGATAGATTCTTCGGGGGTCAGAGCCCCCACCCCTCCCCCCCCCCCACCCCTAAAGAGATGCCTGGAAGAAAATAATGCACCCGACTCTCTATGATTCACGATCAGATTTTGTCAGTGCAGACGATAGAACTATTAACAAGGGTACGGCGAAATCACATTTGCAAGAGGTGGAATTTGGTACATCCAAAAAAAGGTACCAGACTAACTAAATACTGCACTAAGTACTAAGTACTGGACTAAGTACTGCACTAAATAATGCACTAAGTACTGGACTAAGTACTGGACTAAGTACTGGACTAAGTACTGCACTAAGAACTGGGCTAAGTACTGCACTAAGTACTGGACTAAGTACTGGACTTGGAAGCCGAGCGCGTTGAAGTATTATCCATGTAGTTGAAAAGGAAGTTAACTAGTGTAGGATGCTACCATTTTCATTGTCTACTTATTCAATGTAGTCCAACCTTTTTAGACTAATTCACATAGGAATGCATACAACGAAACATGAATTCCCCATACACACATATAGGTAAACACGTGATTTCACAAAGACTAACATATTAACAGACACACTAATAAAGGCTCATTGCCTATGTATTAACAAACCCTTTATTTTAATGAGATATCTCACAAAACAAACGGATTAAAAGACAAACCAACGAAGCCACTCATAAGGGTTATCGCTGATGTATTGATAAACCCTTTATTTTAATGAGTGAATTCGCAAAGACAATCGCATTACGTGACACACTAACGATTTATATATTCATAGACAATGTTTATTTAAATTTACATTTCTTGTAAAGTTAAAACACCTAAATAAATTGTCTACATGGGACTGGAAACTTATGTAACAAATATATTCTGTAAACCACCCGTCTGTTAGTTAATTTTTTTTCTGAAATTGAGAATGACGCATGCGCCGTGGAAGTCATTCGAGCGTTACATTTGTATAGAACAAACTGGGGGACGCGTGATCCAGTGACCTTGTTTGTGATTGGCTGCTTTTGAGGCGCGACGTGTTTATGTGTGCCATTGACGTCAGAGGGGGAAAAATTGAGAACAGAGAAAGAAAAGAGATGGGGGTGGGGGTAGGGTACCTGATGGGACTGGGGGGTGGGGGAGAAGGTGGTGTTTGTGTACTCCAGAACTACGACCAGTTTGATTCAAAATTTATACGTGTTGGTTTTTTTTTTCATATTTATCTTGAAACTAAAACTTCCTGGATTTATTAATTTTTTGCTCATATATAATTTTGAGATGCCCCTGTATTTTATTATGCTGAACAAGAAACAGACGCATTGCGCATTGCTGGTTAAGGTTAAATGCAATGTAGGGTTAACTCATTACGAGGGTTATGAGCAAAAGTAGGGCTAGGTTTGGGTTAGTTAATATTCGCGCCCTTGCATATTCAAACTGTTAAGTAGTTTAAGGTTAGTTGTGAAAGGTATGCTTTGCTAATGGTTCATGTGAAGAGTAACAGTAAAGCAATGTTTGGGTTAGGGAAAACTCTCACTAATCACTCTAATGCATATCTAAGCTGTTCAGTTAGATTATGGTTCATTTTTACGTTTCGATTTCCATTTTGTGCTATATATGCTATCAAAATGAAAGCTTTTTGTTAACGTTAAGGAGTGTAGGTACTGCACTTTTAATCTTAGTAGTTCATGTTAATTAAAATATTTGTATTTAGCGAATAGTATTCATCTGTTTTTTCTGTTGGGTTTTACATTTTTTTTCTTATATCTATAATACGTTGACGAGCTTAAAGCGCCGTCTTGAAATCTTGTTAAACTATTTTATTTCACAACAGAACAATCTCACAGTACCACAGCAGATGCAGAAACTGAGCATAGCCCTCCACAATTATTCCAGAGAGAGCAAAGAAGAACTCGGCCACAAAGTCTCAGACATGATGCTCAGCTGTTTATTCAACTCCGTGAGTAATACTCAGTTTTATATCAGTACCAGGCAGTATAAGAAGAAAATATATTCTGATATGAGGTAAAATAAGCTTTGTTGTTCCATAAACGAAGTCACAAAAAGTCTTTGGCTCTAAACATCACAGGCAGTCACAAACAAGCCACACCCAAACACAGACAATTGGAACATTTAAATAGTACGAGTCGACCCGCGGCATATCATACGTCGCTATTTAGTTGTTTTATTCTCTACTTTTCAGTAATTCATAATTTGTGAATTCGACAGTACCAATGCTGCCACTGAAAATATTTGCTTTAAAACACTATCAGTAGGTCGTTAAGGACGATACTACCCCCACTCTCTTTTCCCCCAACCCCTACCCTACACCCCCCGTGAAAGCAGCCTCCTCTTAGTTATCTCTCCTAAGTTTAAAATCGTTTCAAACTAAATTATCTGCCCCAAATAGCTGTCACTAAACCCGGCTCCACGAATGTAAACATTTAGCGTGAACCACAGCTCACCAGACCATGTAGGGGTGGGGTGGTAGGGAGCGCGCTTACAGCTTGTTTTATAGCGTCTCCTAGAAGAGAATTATATATATATATATATATATATATATATATATATATATATATATATATATATATATATATATATATATATATGTATATATAGTTCCAATAACATAATACCCTCCCCTAAAAAACCCGAAAGAAACACCATTATTACGATGATTTAGAAAAATTGTACTCATTTTTTTTTTAAATATTTAAAACGTACCTAAAAAAAGTTGCGTTAAATTTTATGATCAACCACCTTGCTACCCCCCCCCCCCCCCATCCAATCCCCATTTAAAGGCACAGTCAAGCCAAAACCTGTCATGTCTCCGGAAAGTCTGTAGTCGTGTATGTACCGTCTGTAGTCGTGTATGCACCGTCTGTAATCGTGTATGCACCGTCTGTAGTCGTGTATGCACCGTCTGTAGTCGTGTATGTACCGTCTGTAGTCGTGTATGTACCGTCTGTAGTCGTGTATGTACCGTCTGTAGTCGTCTATGTACCGTCTGTAGTCGTGTATGTACCGTCTGTAGTCGTGTATGTACCGTCTGTAGTCGTGTATGTACCGTCTGTAGTCGTGTATGCACCGTCTGTAGTCGTGTATGCACCGTCTGTAGTCGTGTATGTACCGTCTGTAGTCGTGTATGTACCGTCTGTAGTCGTGTATGCACCGTCTGTAGTCGTGTATGCACCGTCTGTAGTCGTGTATGCACCGTCTGTAGTCGTGTATATACCGTCTGTAGTCGTGTATGTACCGTCTGTAGTCGTGTATGTACCGTCTGTAGTCGTGTATGTACCGTCTGTAGTCGTGTATGTACCGTCTGTAGTCGTGTATGCACCGTCTGTTGTCGTGTATGCACCGTCTGTAGTCGTGTATGTACCGTCTGTAGTCGTGTATGCACCGTCTGTAGTCGTGTATGTACCGTCTGTAGTCGTGTATGTACCGTCTGTAGTCGTGTATGCACCGTCTGTAGTCGTGTATGCACCGTCTGTAGTCGTGTATGTACCGTCTGTAGTCGTGTATGCACCGTCTGTTGTCGTGTATGCACCGTCTGTAGTCGTGTATGTACCGTCTGTAGTCGTGTATGCACCGTCTGTAGTCGTGTATGTACCGTCTGTAGTCGTTTATGTACCGTCTGTAGTCGTGTATGCACCGTCTGTAGTCGTGTATGCACCGTCTGTAGTCGTGTATGTACCGTCTGTAGTCGTGTATGCACCGTCTGTAGTCGTGTATGTACCGTCTGTAGTCGTGTATGCACCGGCCTTTACATCTAGAATAAGACGAGAAAATAAGACCCAGGCATATAGGGGTCGAGATATAAAGGTGGACAGGTCTGCGACCAGTGTTTCTTTCAGGTATCTCTCCAGGAATGGGGGGGGGGAGTGACGCTGCCCCTTATGAGCATGTACAATGACTACCGAACGAAAAAGTGGAAAAAATATATAATTTATAATGTCAAATATAATTTTAATTTTATCTTCCTCCCCCTACCCTAGCAGTTTCTAGCCTTGGCCCCCTCTCCCCCTCCTGAAGAATTATTCTAAAAGAGGTCATGTCTGCGACGCGAGGTTTTATTATCTAGGCTCTGCAGTCGGCTTTGTATCTAGTTGCGAAAATTCCAAGTTACCGAAGTTTGACTCTGGAAGGATTGAAGGTTGACTGTGTTATTTTTAAAGGACATGGGGTGAGGGGGTTGGGGTACGGCAATTAAGCGATGAGTGCCGAACAAGGATAGCCTAATATGTCGTATCTTCTTCCTCTTATTTAAAAAAAAAAACAATCACTTTTCTGCCGGTTGTGAGTGGTTTGTTTTTTCAGCGTAACTTCCTTTAAAGCAATAGAAGTTCCAGTCATCTGTAGATTGTGTACATCTGTTTTAATACTGTCACATATGACACAAAAAACAGCTTCAATGTTAGTACAATTAGTCAATACAAAACATCTTTTGTTTTAAATGTTAAGATTTCGATACCATCCTCTATAATTATAATTAGTATTAGAGACCAATAACTCGTCGTAAATAAGGGAGATAACTATTGATAAAAACAACTAAAATGATTAAATTAGTTGTTTAAAATTTCCATGTAAGATTATATCTTTGTTGTATCATATTTTATTTTTAAACATTATATCATTTAAATTAGTATGTAGAGTGCAGTAAACGAAATAACAGAAAACCGGCAAAATAAAGTAGCCTAATTAAATAAAGTAATTTTAAAGAGGCTTTTCTGTTGATTTGATTCAATCATACATAATTAAAATGAAAGAAATCAATGATAACTAATTAACTTTATACTATTTCAATGATCGTCTTAAATGAGTATATATTCTGTTGTGTTAATTATTCAATGCGTGTTTCTCCAGGATGCCTGTAATGCTTCAGATTTCAAACTTGACACGTTCATCAACAACGGTAACTGTTATACGTTCGGGGATAAGACAGTGAACAATTCAAAATCTTGGTACGTCAATCTGTGTTTCTTCCATTCCAGACTTTTTTCTCCAGGAGGGGGGGGGGCCTCAAAATTATTTTAGGGTGGGGGGCGGACTAAAATTGCCCGGGGAGGAGGGGGGGCATCACACAGTAAAAAGTATATATTTTCTATTTAAATTCCATTTTGTTGGGGGGGGGGTGCGGTATACTGGAACATACTCTGCTGCGACGCAGGTTTATTAAGCCTTGGGGTGCGGGTTTATCAATACAACCTACCAGGCGACTTAGGATCTACTTTAATTTTACTATCCCCAGGGTGGGGTAGATCACACCTCGGCAACAGCATGTGAGCTTGGTTCGTCTCGGGGCGTTCCTTGCTAAGTGCCCGTGTTACGTTGCCAGCCATAGCTGGGATAAACCATTGACAGTAATGGTTCACAGAAAAATGAGCATTCGAAAAACTGCGCATTGGAAAATGGTGCAAATAAAAAGAATGCGCAAATACAATTGATTATACTAATACACTTTAATTTTGTAATATTTTGAGGAAATATATTTTATTATGCTACAGTGTAGGCTACTCTTTGTTAATGTCTATAAATGATCGATTTAAGAAAACAAAATGCCCTTGCGCACCTTTTTGTGTGCATAGTTTTTCGTTGCACAGTTTTTTGTTTTCTCATTTTCCGGCAACCCTAGATATAACTAGTGTAGGGCGCTCATTGAGCAGTCGGGGGCGCTCAGTGACGCATAAGGTCATACAACCGCCAGGGCGCGCGGTACACCCTTGTTGCATTTAAACCATTGATTAGAGTAATTAACCCAACACCCAATGTAGGACGACAAATGATTGGATTGCATGGGTTACGGTATAGAGAGAATTCGAGGCGCCCAATCACACATTACCGTGTGGGGCGCCAATCCTCCGATATTTCCTAAAATGCCAGAAACCTCTTCGGAAATACACTCAACATGGCGTTTCCGTTGGTTTCACCTAAGCGATCCACTTCATTTTACAATTTGTGATTAACTTAGTGATCTTGAGTTACAATAAATCCAAGAAGTTCTTATGTCGCCTGACGTCCCAAGTATCCTGAAATTTAAGTGAGTTTCAATACATCCACCTTTAAAAATCATAGCCAAATCCTAAATCTTATATAAAATATTGCACGAACAAATTGAGTTAGTCCTCATTGCTCCTTGTTGAACATAGTGCCTCGACCATCCCCCTCCATGTTGCCTTGTCTCCGCCTATTACTTTTTCAATCTCCCAAGAAATCCCTGCGAGTGAAATAGTTTATCAAGATGTAAGGCTATTAGTAATTATACTTACATTTAACTTGTTAGGTTCGTGACCAAGGCAGGACCAGCCAACGGCCTGATTATCGAGCTGGACATCGAGCAGGACGAGTACCTGCCCATCACCGAATCAGCTGGGATAAAGGTCTTGTTACATTCTGGCTCTGAGATCGTCTTCCCTGATAACAGTGGCATCCTGGCAGCGCCGGGCTTTGTTACTAGTATTGGCATTAGGAGGGTATGTAGAATTAGTCCTCATTAATTTAAATTTAAAATTTCATAAACTGTTATTAAAACCTATCCATAGTTAAGTAGACTATGTGATAAGATTATATAAAACAATATTATAAACTATCAAATTATATTTAAAAAAATAAAAAAATAAAAATGTAAATATATATTAAACATGTTTTGCAGTCTGAAACATCCCTCCTCCCGGCACCGTATGGAAACTGCATCAGCCAATCAAACGTATCCAACGAAATCAAGAACCTCTACAAAAATATGGGCTACGACTACACCAAAGACGCCTGTCTACGGACCTGCTTGCAGATTAAAATTCACGATTCTTGCGACTGTATTGAAACAGACGTGGCGAACATAATCCAAGTCCTCAACGACAGATCAGTCTTGGATCTGGCGCCGAATGAAACTCTTCAGATCTGCAACACTACACATACAGAGTGTGTCACAGGTGTAGAAGAGCAGTTCCAGAAACGTCTTCTCGGATGTGAAGACATATGTCTGCCTGTCTGTGAGCAAATCGGTTACTTGACCACGGTGTCCACGGCGACGTGGCCAGCTAAACGCTACATGGAGAACTACATCCAGTTTGTCAACAACTCAGCCACAGCCAACAACAAAACCTACAACTGGACAGGCGAGCCGCGACAACACGCCCTCGACAACTTCCTCCGTTTAGAGATCTACTACGAGACTCTCCGCTACGAGTCGTTCGCTTCATCCCCGACCTTCGACTGGAACAGTCTCCTAGGCAACATCGGCGGTCAACTGGGGCTCTGGTTGGGGTTCTCGGTCCTCACAGCTATCGAAGTCTGCCAGTTTATTCTTGAAGTTAGCGTCCACGTTGGCAGGATATACTACAGAAAACACAGAAAATCCAAAAATACCGAAGAACAAAACGAAAATTCCACCGACAGAAGACTTAGTAGTGCGTTTGCCCCTACACTGACACAAGAAGATCGTAAAGCCAGTGTCGCCTTTGCTAACAGTACTAGGAGTGAGAGAAGGACCAGCGTACCTTTCGGACTGGCGCCACCAAAACAAGAAACAAGGAGAGCCAGTCTAGCGGTGCCGTACTTCGAGTATGAGAGGAGGCCGAGTTTTGATTTTGTGCACATAGAAGAAGTGGCTTAATTTGTAGTCAGGTATATTTTTATTTTGTTCACATAGAAGAAGTGGCTTAGTTTGTAGTCAGGGACATTGTTTTTATTTTGTTCACATAGAAGAAATGGCTTAAAATTTACGAGAGAAGGCCGAGTTTTTATTTTGTTCACATTGAAGAAGTGGCTTAGTTTGTAGTCAGGGGTAATTTTTGATTCTGTTGATATATAATAATATGTGACTTACTATGACGTAGTCAAGAACAAATTTTGATTTTGTTCCCATAGAAGAAGTGGCGTAGAATATATATATTTTTTTAGCGTCAGTTGTGTGTTCGCTTTAGTATTAGTTTTCATCATCGGCGTTTGAGGACTGATACAGATTTACAATAGTAATACTTCTTTCTTACTTGTAGCCTACTTTCATTCATTTAAGATGGTTTACTTATACATAGATCTAATACAAAACGTCTATATATAAAGAAAAAATAAACATTAAAAACCAACCTGAAACTGAAAATGCAAATGTGTAATTAAATGATTCAAGGGATTTTTTTTTCTCGGCGCGCGTGGTGGGCTGAGGGGACGGGGGAGGGGGGGGGGGGGAATTTGGGTTTTTAAGTAGAGCTGGAAAAAAAAAATTGGGATTACCAATTAAATAATTAAAATTATACAAATTTTTAGCAATCGGAAAAGTTATGTTATTACAATGAGACACATCAAAGCAAACATTCTTCGTAGAATATATGAGAATAGTTGCATAGTTTGTAGTCGAAAGCAAGGTGTTGTTTGTTTAGTACACGGAGAAGAAGTTGTTTAATATGTAAGAAATGTCTTGTTTTGATTTTGATCATTTAGAAGTTGCTTAATTTTTACGAAAGAAGGTCGAGTTTAGACTTAGTTCACATATAATATCTGACTTAATATTTAGTCAACGCCAAGTTTTTATTTTGTCCAAATTGAAGTATTTTCTTAATCTGTTCGGAAGAAGGACTAGTTTTTATTTTGTTTACATAGAATAAGTTGTTTAATATGTAGTCAGGGACAATTGTTTTAACTTTGTTCACATAAATCATGTGGCTTAGTATGAACGAAAGAACAACAAGTTGTTATTTTGTTTACATAGAAGAATTGGCTTAGTGTGTAGTTTATGTTCACATATAGTATGTTACTTTTTACGTAGTCAAGAACAAGTTTTAATTCTGTTCTCTTAGAAGATGTTGCTTAGTATGTATGAAAAAAGCCAAGTTTTGATATTGTTGATACCGAAGACTATGCTTAGAATACTGTCTTTGGGTTCATGGCGACCTAACTATTCCACTACGCCACACCAAAGCTGCTTAACACAGCATTTATGTATTTTTAATTGATTTATGTTCATTACGCTACTCTTAATACTTTTGCATTTTTGATAAGCATAGAATAGTGTCGCTACGTGCATTTATACAAGAACTTACACTTTTTATACGTTTTTATACTGACTTATAAGATTTAGATTTTAAGACACACAAAGCGTGTAGGCTTATATTGTGAACCCTATACGCATTCTAGATATATTAAGATAACATGTTACGGCAATATACTTTTAAGATTCACAGTAATTTTTTACTGTAACAAACTCAGGTTTATTATATATTTTATAAGTTTAATTTAGGGGATACAAGATCGATGTCTCACAATAAAATATAATTTTGTAACAACTAGATATATATACATTTTCATTGTATAATACACTTATGTAAAATAAGACACATGTATATAACCAATGATTTGTTAGACTAGCTCTTTGTTTATTGAAATAATAAAGGCAGGTTTAAATTACAATTATAAAGACGTTTTTTTCTAGACACAGATACCTAAGTACAGTTAAATAAGGTGAATTTACCGGATTGTGTCTTTTGTATATATATACTAATGTATTGTGTAGAAGTTTTAGAGTGTGAATAGGCCTACACGTGTACAGATGTTTTTTCATAACATAAGTGTATACTATATATATACATATAATTGTATTTGTAATATAGTTGATGTTGAAATAATATTACTACTGTGTCAATAGAAATAACATTTTCTCGAGATAATGGAAAAAGACCAACGATGCATTTAAAAACTTCCGTGGGAGGTATGGGGGGGGGGGGGGACGGTGACGGATAGTGGTTAAAGTATTTATTTTCTATGGTGACAGGTAAGATGCGTAAAGGAAAACTGCTCAACGGAATCTAAAGAAAATTAGCACATTATATGGAGTGATAGGAAGTAGTGGGTGTATTGATAATTTTTTTTTTGTTGCTTAAAATCTATGCTGCTTTCCTCCACCACACTTATACAGAAGAAGGCTAATGTTCAATTTAGAGAGGTGTGTGGTTTTACTTCTTCATAAGGATTTTTAGGACTAAATTGCTAACTAATAATAAAAAAAATAGTGTAACCAAATTAACAATAAAATAGTCAGAGTCTTTTTAAATATTTATGAAAAAGAAACTTATGTTACTAAATATTGAAGAAATGGTTTAGCCCTATTTCAGACAAATTCTGTATCGCTTTACACATTTATTAAAACAGATATAGCTACGGCTGAAAATTATTTTGTTATGATTTCTAGTTTTTATTTAACAGTCTATAGTTTCATTGACTGGTTGGAATGCATCAAGAGTTTGAGCCTAACCCTTAATACGCATCATATCATCTCAAGTAATTGACAAGCACAACAGAATCATTAATTAGAAAATTTTCTCTTATCAATTCCACTATGATATTTTAGAACCACTTTTCCCCTGACCATATTTGCTTACACTATAATCGTTCCTAGTTAAGGGATCGGCGTGGTCGAGTCGGTAAAGCTCATGGTTGATAAATTTCGAAAAAATCTCGAGTTCAAACCCTCTGGCAGATAAGGCTCGATCCCTTCCAACACTAAAAATTAAGAACGAAGAAGAAGATGTTCCTAGTTATTCTGATTTGATCTATGTATATATTATCAATCCATATCTGAAATGTTTTAAAAAAGTAAAGTTTTCCTTCTAAACCTGAAGGTCTATGGGGCAAGTTAAGTAGAGTTCAATTGTTTCTGTAACCTTGGCATATAAAAAGATATTGTGGTCAGCACTATGCCCAGCCGTCTTTACTTTCCTTAATGTGAGTTAGGTGCTCGTCAGAGCTGCGTGGACTCAGAAACGGTCTAATGTCTTGAACCCGGTTTCGAACTTGATACTTACGGGTTAGCAGTCTAGCTCTCCACTCCGTCCCATGAAATGCAATAAAAAAAAGAGAAAAATGTACTACTCTATTCAATACATTTAATGCACGATTACAAGACTTTCTCTATACTTCGTATAAACGAGAAAGTAAAAAATTGTGTAAAAAAGTACTATCTAAAATACTGAAAATGTGAAAATAAATATATTTGAAAACACATGGCTTAGCACATGTTTTATCGCACGACTAAAGATAGTGTTCTCTTATAAATACTTATAAAATGAAGGCTAGTGAAAAAAATACAGAAACTCTAAAACAATACCATCAAGGGTAGAGTCTCGATATTAATCACTCTTTTCATTCCTGGGCTAAAGAAAAATAAACCGGGAGTGATCTCCCGTAAACTTTCTCGAATATTCTAATATAAAATTACGAGGGATGGTAACTCAGGACATAGACAATATTTGTTATCCATTTTTAAAAACTTGGGTTTTTTCTGGATCTTGTACTCACCCACAACACTCGGACTCCGGATGTGACGTCAGTATTTCACCAATCACACGGAAACATCAGCAACATGAAGAAACACATCGGTGTGTATACTGTACGCTCCGTATTCTGAAAACTGATTGTCTAATATAGCTTTGTAAAACATGATTCAGTGAAGCTTTGTAAAATATCGAATTCCATACAGAATTATTTTTAGTATAACCAAATTAATAGTCTATGATAAAATTACGGTTAATATTGATTTTTCAGGTTTATGAAAAATTAGCTTACACTGAAGTCAAAACAAAATGCAATACAAGTTATAACAAATTATATCATTATCGTATGGACACTAGTTAATTTTTTTTCCCATGTTTAACATGTGCACGGAAGTAAAGCATTTTATATCAAAGAACCTCTTTCAATAAATGTAACGTAGAATTTGTTTTTTTAATAACAGGTAAATATGATGTTACAGGTAAAACGGGTTTTAAAAACTAATTAGTGTGAAATACAGCAATTACTAAAAAACAATGAATGAACAATAGAAAATAAGTAAGTTACCTGTCTTCTACTTAAACCTTTACCGCAAAAAAAAAATATCAGTTTGACAATAGTGAGTCGTGTAATTCCCAAATGAAATTAATCACTACTGTAATGGTTTATAGCAGAAGAATGGGCAATTACAGGGAGGCGATTCTTGATGTTTACTGCGGAAACAAGGGGAAGCTACCATAAACACAGCGATCAATTAACTCCATACATTCTCGACAGTTAATTTATACCCGTAAATAAAACAGATTAGCAATAACCTATTGGGTTAATGTTGCGGGGCTTATCAAATATTTTCAAGTGTATTATTATTCTTTTAGGAAAAATATGCCTGTATATCAGTGGTTCCCAGTGGTTCCCCCAGTTTGGGAACCCATGATTTATATTATTTAATCAATCTGACGACGGTGTAAAAAATATGAATATTACTGGGATCACACATCTACACAGGGGTGTAGCGAGGGGGGCGGGGGGGGGGTGCGGACCGCACCGGGTGACGCCATTTAGGGAATGACAACAAGGCAAAAAAATAGCAAAATATATAGAGAAAAATTTGAGGAGGAGGGGGGGGGGGGAAATCGATATTTTGATGGGGGGGGGGGGTCAAATCGAAAGTTAGAGGGGGGTGTAAATCGAAAGTTAGAGGGGGGGGTGCAAATCGAAAATTTGAAAGTTTGTCCCCGGGAAGGGTCGCTACGCCTCTGGGGGGTGACACAATTAAGTGCCGCACCGGGTGACACCCGACCTCACCATCTACAAACTCTAAATGACGCGTGAGGTCCGGCTTTGGGGGCATGA